CTTTCTGATAGCAGTTTCTGATACCATTGTCATGAGATTGTCTGATAGGGTTAGGCCTTTGATTATTAATGTTCTGAAAACTTTTCCTTTTGTTAGAGTTTCTGCCAGGTTCATTAGTTTTCAAGCTGTGTTTTGGTTTGGCCTTTAGAGTTTGTTTCTCTGGTATGACCTTCTCATGAACAATTTTAGTACTAGAAGTACTAGCATGGCAAATGGGGCTCAGAGTCTGTGGCACTATGACCTTTTTAGCCTTAGCAACTTTGGTGCTAGGCCTTTCAGAAGGCTCACCAGACTCTGGTTCAACATATCCAAGACCAGAGGTGAAGTTATGAGAGTTACCAATATTCTTCATGGAAGATTGCATCTTCAGAAGACTATTATATTTACTCTCAAGTTCCTCAATGTCTCTTATTCTTTTCAGAAGAGACTCATTTTCCGCCTTCAGTCTATCTCTTTCCTCAGTTAAGAGATTAAGTTTGCACTCAGTCTCTTTCCTTAGATCAGAGATGTCAACTTTCAGCCTACTGTTCTCATCCTTAACAAAAGAATAAGTGGCTTGGATAGTTTGGAACTCTTCCCAAAATGATGACATTGGATCATCATTTAAGGCTGTGCCTACCGAAGAAGAAATAGAATCAGAAGTAGAACATACCTCATCATCTGATTGTGCCATGAGGCAGAGGTCTGTAGTTTCTGCATCCAAGCAGCAGAAAGCTTCATCAGAGTCGGAGTCTGAGCTGGACTCTGATTCAGAGAGTGGATCTCTCTCAGCTTGTTCTGAGACAAATGCTCTTCTTCTTCTGTGTTGATCATCTGGTTTCTTTTCTTCTTCATGTCCTTGCTTCTTGGACACTCTTGGATAGGGGCAGTTTGCTTTGAAGTGCCCAGGTTGTCTGCAGTTGTAGCAGAGGTACTCTCCATTGCTTTCAGAAGATTTGGTCTTCTGATGGGGTCTTCTGATGGAAGATGGACTCCTTCCATCTTTCTTCATAAATTTTCTGAATTTTCTGGCAAAGGCAGCCATATATTCATCAGATAGAAGAGTTGAAGGATCAAAGTTTGTAGCCTTAGAAGTGCTGGCAGTAAGGGCAGTTGTGGTTCTTTCATCTGGCACTTCTTCTTTCTCTTCAACCATCTCGAACTCATAAGCTTTGAGATCTGAGATCAATCTCTCTGTGGGGTAGGTCTTGATGTTCTTGCTTTCTTGGACTGCAATCACCTTCATCTTCCAAGCTGAAGGCAGTCCCCTGAGGATCTTCATGTTGACTTCTTTGATAGTGAGCTCCTTTCCAAGCTCAGAAATCTCACTAATGAGAATCAGCAGTCTCTCATGCATCTTAGCAATGCATTCTTCTGGCAGAAGTTTGAAGTCATCAAACTTCTTCATAGCAATGGTCAACTTGTTATCTCTTTCTTGTTCATCACCAGCTCCAATCTCATCTAGCTTGTCCCAGATTTCCTTTGCAGTCTTGCACTTCTTGATTCTGTTGAAGTATCTTTCATCAATAGCCTTGTAGAGGATGTCCTTGGCAATGTTGTCAAGGTTATACTGTCTTTTCTCTTCCTTGGTCCACTCAGACCTCGCCTTCTCAACCATCTGAGGCTGAGTGTTATCAGTAGAGTGAGCAGGATTGACCTTCATGAACTGAATAAAGGGGCCATTCTCCAAGACTTCCCACATTTCATCATGTAAGGTGCATAGATGAGCCTTCATCCTAATCTTCCAATCATCATACTTCTGGTCTGTAAACATGAGATGCTTTGCAAGAGAGTTATCCATTATAATAAATAAAGAGGCTAAGAACAAGTGGATCTTTGTTCAGAGAGTAACCTAAAAGATTACAAGAACAAGGAGGCTCTGATACCACTTGTTGGTCCCGTTTAATATGGTAATCAGTCTAGAGGGGGGGGGGTGAATAGACTGATTGGTTTTTCAAATTTTCTCTAAGTCCAAAGTGACTTATCAGAGAAGGTCTGATTCTGATGACAGAGAAAGGCTGGTTCTGATATCAGAACCGGCCTTGGCAGCGGATTCTGATCTGTCCGGGTAGCCTCAGAAACACTAAGGCAAATGCCTTTCTGATAACTCTGAAAACAAGATCTGCTGAACACAGATTCCAAGTCTTAGAGTTAAGCAGTTAATATCCTAAGTGCAGGAAAATAAATTGCAGTAAAGTAAATGACACCGGATATTTTTATAGTGGTTCAAGGAACAACTCGTTCCTCTAGTCCACTGTTCCACTAGCTTTGAAGTAGATCGGTTACAAAGCTTAGTCCCTAGCACTTAAGAAGTTCTCCACGCCTTCTTCAAGCCTAGCTGCCACTCAGGATGCAGTTCCACGTCATGATGGCTGGTCCTTTCACTCAGCTTCCCGGAAGTATCACCACTTCACTACTGCAGTTACTTGGACGCCCTTCTTTTCAGAAGATCCTTTGAAAAACAGAGTTTTTCCTCCAACTTGCTTCGTTACAAATGATTGTTTGATGAAGTTCTTGAAGAGTTGAAGAACAGGATGAACTTTGCTCGTCTGTTGGGGATGAGAGATTTGGAGTTTGAATCTTCCCAACGTAAGCTTGTCTTGTTGAAGATTGTAGAATTTGAATCTCAAGAGAGCTTGAATTATGATGACCAAAAGTTGTGGCAAAGTTGTTTTTCTGTTCTTCGGTGTGTAGCTTATATACTGAGGTTGTCTGCCCGTTGGAGGAGGAGACAACTGCATTGAATGCGCGTACTGTTGACTTGACCGCCGTTTTGGAAGGTTTCTATTTTTATAATATATCTTCCCGGATTCCTTGGTCAATCATTTGCAATCAATCCTTCAGCGTATCAGGCTCATTTAATGTGCATTAAATGCTTTCCTTTCATGCACAGTCTTGTAGCCGTTGGATGTTTTTTACCCGTTGAAATCATAGCTGTTGGATGTTGCTTGAAAGCTTCTAAGTGTTAGTCGGGCTCTGATCAGGCTCTTCTGATGTGTTGGATTCTGGTGGCTTTCTGATGAGTTGAGTTCTGATGGACTTCTGATCTCTGATAGAGCTCTAATACTGACTCTGATAGGTCCGCTGATGAGTACCTCTGATCTGTAGTTCTCATCGGTTATCAGATGTCCAGGTTTATCAGCAACTCTCATGGTGCAACTCTGATGGACTTCTGCTAAGAGAACTCTGATGGAGCAGTTCTCATAGAGCAAGTCTGGTCGAGCAGTTCTGATGCATTTCTGATCTGATCCAAAACTGAGCAACTCTGATCGTTGACTACACTAATACTTACAATTGAAAATTCTAATACATAAAATCAAATTTGGGGGTACTTTAAAATTCTAATCCTATAGCATCATCAAAATCTAATTACATTTATTCCTTACAATATTGAAGTTGACTGTCATTTTATTCGTGATGCTATTAAAGAGAATCTCATTGCTCCCAGTTATGTTCCTACTACCATACAATTGGCTGATATTTTTACCAAAGCCCTTGGTAAAGTCCAGTTTCATGCGTTATTGAGCAAGTTGGGCATTATTGATCTTCATGCGCCAACTTGAGGGGGGGTATTGAGATATTTTCGGATATATTATTTTAAAGACAAAATCTTTGTAATTTAGGTAGTTGATTCCTTTTAGAATTACTACCTATTATACCGTAGGGTAAGCAGCCATATGGCTATATATATTTAACCAATGTATACGTGATGCAACAGAACAAAAAGATCGATTTACTCTTCCTCTCTCTTTACAATTTTAACATACGTATACTGCTAGTTTATCATTCTTCCCAATGCAAGGGTCCTGAGCGAGTAGTGGATAGACAATAGTAGTCAATGTGCCCTTGCACCCTACATTAAAATAGGAATTCGAAAGCCTCTCATACTTGAATAATGTTCAAAATCAATTGTCGCCCTCTTTCCTAACCAGTTTACTTTTCTCCAGTGCATTTTTATGTTAATGGAAACTCTAATGTGATGAATTTACTCTTTTCTATCCCTAGTATCCCTTCATAAATTTGTACACCCTTCCTATATACTACTCTATCTGTACATTTATCAAACCATTGAAGTAATTATCAGTACATTTAGCCACTCTATCTGTCATGAAGCTTAGAGGTAAATTGTGAACCTGAACTCAGAATTAAGAATGATTCGGCCCCACCTCTAGAAGTTTGTGGTCTAGAGGTATCAAACCATTGAGTTTCAAACCCTTATGTGCCTAGCGAGTTTCGAACTCGAGACCTCTCACTAGGCACGGTAACCTCACAATCAGTTATGCTGGAATGTTTGGTTAATTGAAAACGCATATCACCAATTTATTCTATGCTTACTCCCATTCCTACATGCCAGATCATTGCTATTGTCTAGCGCGCGGAACATAATAGGATGAACTGATTTATCCGTAAAAATCCTAGCAATGGCAGAATATCGCGGCACTCCGCCTACCCCGCCTCATATGAACCAAGTTCTAGAATTCGGTTCAAACACCATCCCAATCCCTTCGATCCTCTTCAATTAGTTTTGTTTTTACATTGGATTTGAAGTCGGGTCTATCTCCTTGAATTTATTTTTTGGTTTTAATTTATCCATTTTTGTTCAACCCTGCCTTACACGTTTATTGACGTACCGGATCATAATATTATTTTTTACTCTAACATACTCTCTCCGTCTCGCGACCGCCTCATAATTACTTTCTCATTAAAGTAACCGATTTGTAGTTATACTCATTTCTCTCCCCTTTGCCAAACTTCAATAACCCATTTTTTATTTTTATTATTTCTCACCTAATTTGAAATTAGCAAGTCCATAGGATAAAGGTAATACTACTTAATACTTAAAGTATAAAAGAATTAATTTGACCTGAGTATTTATTAATTAGGTTAAAGAATGAGTGGAAGTGAGTAAGTGACCTAAATCTGAACTTTCCATACAAATGATACAATTACTCAATCCAATGTGATATCTACTTGTTCTTCAATAACGGGACGGGACTGCCTCTCTTCTCTAGGTTACGTATCTTTCATCTACAGCAACCCTCTTTTCTCTCCCCCTTTCCCTTACTGTTGAGTGCCACAGCACTCCACTACCTTTTTCTCCCTCAGCTTTATTCTCTCTCTCTCTCTATCTGTGACTCTGTGAAGCAAGCAGGAGCTGAATTATGACTCTTGAAGAGTCCTTAAGATCTCTGTCTTTGGATTATCTGAATCTGCTCATCAACGGCCAGGCTTTCAGCGACGTAACCTTCAGCGTGGAGGGGAGGCTGGTCCATGCCCACAGGTGCATCTTAGCTGCCCGGAGCCTCTTCTTCAGGAAATTCTTCTGCGGCCCGGACTCCCCCGGCGCCGGGGGCGCGTCGTCCTCCCCGCCGGCGGCGGTGATTCCGGTGAACTCCGTCGGGTACGAGGTTTTCTTGCTCATGCTTCAGTTCTTGTACAGCGGCCAGGTGTCTGTTGTGCCGCAGAAGCACGAGCCCAGACCTAACTGCGGGGAGAGGGCGTGCTGGCACACCCATTGCTCCTCCGCCGTCGATCTTGCCCTCGACACCCTCTCCGCCGCTAGATCTTTCGGCGTCGAACAGCTGGCTTTGCTCACCCAGGTTGTGTATGTAAATATGGACATATATAGTAATTCCTCATCTGGGCTTTCACTGTCTCTTCTTTCCAAAAATCTGATCTTTAACTTCTAGTTACTAGATTTTCTTAACATAAATTTTAGCTAAATACGAGGCCAAACACATAAACTAAAACTACTCACGTACACTTCCCTATTCCTGTTTTTGTGAAAAAAACAGCACATGTTATAATCATGTAGCTTGATTTCATGTGACAGTGCTTAGATCAGTGTTTCCAAATTGAGATCTGCTGGCCTGGTAATGTCTCACATGTCATGTCTAGCTTCACATGTAATCAGTCACACCAAATCTTTCCCATGTAATCTGCTTTAATTTCCTCATTTGGTAGCAAGAAGCCAAATAGAAATGAACTATTAATGCTGATGAATGCCTATACTATACTACGCCCTACCTCATCTCAATTTTTTCACAACTCAGCCAACACCTCGTTTTGGGTACCTGTAATCTTTTACTCTATCAGAATAAGATACTCCGTTGAAAATATGGGTATTTAACTATTTATCAAAGAACTTCCTAGTAGTAATTACGGAGTAGTAAATACTTGGGATTTATAAGAAAACCCGTTGACAGTTCTGTTTAGTCCAATATGATTGTTAAAATTTCTTTGAAAAAAGAATGTCACATTGTGTATTTTCGTATGAGAAGATAATTAAGTCACCAGGATGTGGAAAATAATTCTTATATCCTAAAATTTAGGTTTTCCTTAAATATTAGTCCTAAAATATAAATTATGAACAAAAACAATACAAAGTTTTATAGTTTTTTACTTTTTCTTATTACAAGGTTTTATAGCTATTATGCACGTAATGATAATCATTAAATTATTATGGTAGTCACTAATGACTAAAATATAAATGCCATATTTTTATCCATTACAATCATTATATTACTATGGTAGTTACTGATGACTAAAGTATAAAATGTCATACTTTTATTCATTACCTTTATTCCGGTCATATATTTCTCATTATTTCACTAAAATTTCTAATTTAGATATTTACCATCTACTCTTAATTTCTGTTTAATTACTTGCAATATTTGAATCCCATACTTTTATTTTCTTTTGACATACCAATATTAGCTTAAAAGATACTCCCTCCGTCTTATTTTAGTTAGCCAACTTGACTTTTCAAATCAATGATGTCTAATTTTGACTGATTATATATTTATAATTGATAATTGAACATGTTCTCTATCAAAAATACTACCACAAAAGTATAAAACTATTACGATTTTCTATAGATATACGGAGTATTAGTTAAGATAATTGATCAAAGTTTATCATTTTTAACTGGAAAAGTCAAAGATAAGTAACTAAAACGGGAATTGGGAAGTTTTGTAGAAGTTTCGCAATATTTTCATCATTAATTAGTCTAACCTTAATTACTTTAGACCAATCAATCTCTATCGCTCGGAGTGTAGTCTTTAATCTCTTCCGAAATACTTTTTTTTCCGAAATACTACGTACGTGTGAAGCTATAAGCCTATAATAATGTCTTCCTACAATTTTTTATTATGTGTGTAATTATTAGTAGTATATCTGAATCAATCATTGGGGATTGGATATTGTATTCCAAAGTTCTACTCTAATTATTAAATTGTTGTCATATACTTCCTCCGTTCTTTTTTAGTTGCAACGATCAACATTTCACACTTGCCAACGCACGTCTTTGACCATAATTATATCTTAATCTCTATTAGTAAAAATTATTTAAAAATTAGATTTTGAAAATTTGTAAAGTGATGAATTGAACAATATTCTTTTAGAAAAATAATTTTCATAAAATAATATTATAAAATGTAGTCAAAGTAATATATGTGAATAGTGTAAAATTCAACATGTTGCGATTAAAAAGAGACAGAGGATGGTGTATATATATATATGTCACAATTTAAAACTATCAGTTAATGTGACTATTCAATGGTTTTAATAGTGCATTTGGATAATAAGTTGACTTTACGTCTTTACGCTCTATTGCGACTCGTCAATTTGTCAATTCAAAATTGGGATATAGAATCATAGAAGATCTAATCATATTCAATTTAATTCTATATAATGTGGGTGTTGTTTTTGGGGATTAGCAGAAGCAATTGGCAAGCATGGTGGAGAAGGCTTCCATTGAGGATGTGATGAAGGTTTTGATAGCTTCAAGGAAACAAGACATGCAGCAGCTTTGGACCACTTGCTCACAACTGGTTGCTAAATCTGGGCTCCCTCCAGAAGTGTTAGCCAAACACCTCCCCATTGAGGTTGTGGCCAAAATCGAAGAGCTCCGCGTCAAGTTCTCCATTGCGCGGCGCTCTCTATTTTCTCACCATCACCAACACCACCACCATGACATGAGCTCGGCGGCCGAAATGGAGGACCATAAGATCCGACGCATGCGTCGTGCCCTCGACTCATCGGACGTCGAGCTCGTCAAGCTCATGGTGATGGGAGAAGGGTTGAACCTCGACGAGGCGTTGGCCTTGCATTACGCTGTTGAGAATTGTAGCCGAGAGGTGGTGAAGGCCCTGCTCGAGCTCGGCGCGGCTGATGTGGACTACCCGGCTGGACCCGCAGGGAAGACTCCGCTTCACGTGGCCGCCGAGATGGTGTCGCCGGACATGGTGTCTGTCCTTCTTGACCACCACGCTGACCCTAATGTCAGAACCGTAGATGGAATCACGCCACTAGATATCCTCCGAACCCTAACCTCAGATTTTCTGTTCAAAGGAGCCGTCCCTGGGCTGGCTCGCGTCGAGCCGAATAAGCTGCGGCTTTGCCTAGAGCTAGTCCAATCAGCCGCTATGGTCATTTCACGTGAAGAAGGGAACGACGCCGCCGCCGCCGCCGCCAACCAAACCTCAGGCGCCGTATATCAGCCAATCAGCGAAGAGCAGGGGGGCAATATGGGAAGCAGCCTAAACCTGGATTCAAGATCCATGGTGTACCTTAACCTAGGAGCCGCCGGTCAGCATCAAATGAACGACGGAGACGAGAGCAGCCGCCGCCAAAGCCAGAGCCGAAATAGCGGATGCTGCAATCCACCTTCAATGTATCACCATTCTCATCATCATGAGTATTGAGTGTTACATCACGTCGCTGCTGACCTCCAATACAATCAATGAATTGAAATATTTACTCCCTCCGTCCCTTATAACTTTGCCAACTTTCCTTTTTTGGATGTCCCATTAACTTTGCCACTTTCCCATTTAAGTAAAGAATTTGTGCTTCCAGTTAATTCTCTCTCCTCTGCACAAACCTCAACCACACAGTTTTTACTTTATTAATCCCCGTGCCGGTCAAACTTGGCAAAGTTATTAGGGACGGAGGGAGTATTTATTAATTAGCCACACTATCCACGCTCGAATTCTTGGGTTTTTGTATTAGAAAACGTTAATTAGCTTTTTTTTTTGAAAGAACATTAATTAGCTATATATTCCATTCGTATAATTTGATTATCATCATCATTATCAATAGGATGGAACTGGTGCTTAAAAATAGTCACAACCTCTCAATGATTTCTATTCGTATTCGTATCATTTATTTTCGTTTTTGAGTATCGGTGGGATATTCTTTTTTTATATTGTACGAGTATATTGTAAGGATGTATTTTTATGCTCCAACTAAAATATTTTGTTATCAAATCAGCAAAGGTTTTAATTTCAAATTATACTTATTCCTTTCTTGACATCATTAGAAAGAATTTTAACTAGTGGGGAAGTTGATATTCGTGTAATTTCCGATTGTATGTTTGTATTTTTAACTAGTTTTTATTAGTTCTAGTTGTGGAAAATACTCACTTTTGGTGTAATACTTTAATTTCATCATTATTTGTAATTTGTTTAGATTAGAACTATTCTGAGCTAAACAGGTCAAATATCATCCAAGGGATCAAGATTGGACCCTAAAAGATCAAGGAAAGTGCAAGGAGGCAAGAAAGATTTCGATTTGGAAAAATTACTCATGTACCCGGTCGGGTATAGGCAATACCCGATCGGGTATTTTCTTGATTCGATTGTGATGCGTACTATTTAGTAGTACATAAACACCACATTTTAGAATGGTTTTACATTATGTTTACTTAGCTTTTCTACAATTACGGTGTAATCTTTATCTTCTAAAATTAAAGAAGAAATAGAAGATATTAAGATATTTTGACATGTAAGCAAAAACATGATGAAAAGAAGATGAAGGAGCTTGGGAGCATAATGAAGGAGCATTGGAGACAAGAGGAAGCTTCATGGAGGACAAAGATGTGTGAAAAATCGGATATGATTCGACCCGGAGATCATAAGAGATCAAATAAAGCAAGTGAACATGGAAAAATCAGATTATGTCTTAGACCCAACCACCTCACTTCTCCTATAAAACACCTCTTTCCTTACTATTTTAGATACCAATTTAATCCCCTCTTTCATATACACTTTATTCTTGTAATTTAGGTAGTCTTTCCATCTTGGTTTTGCTACTTTGAAGCTTAATGAATTGTAAGTTGTGAGTTATTTTCTTTAATTTTCTTCCTTGAATATTAATTTTTCCCTTAATACTATCTCTATATTAATGTTGGGGAGTGTTACTAAGATAACAATTAGTTAACATCTCGACATTAGTTAGAGTAGTATCTATTTTCTTCCTCTATATTAATGTTGGGGAGTGTTACTAAAATGACAATTAGTTAACATCTTGACATTAGTTATAGTCGGATTTATATCTTCTTTAATATTCTTCCTTGAATATTAGTTAATTTCTATTCATATTTCATTTTAATATTTTGAGCATTACTTAAAGGATCAACTAGTTTTGTCTCATATATTAATTATTACTAGAATCGATCGACGAATACGCTTGTTAATCGTTCGATCTTTTCACGGTAGTAAACTTGGATTATTAATGCATGCGTCTCATGGTTAATAATCTAAGGGGAATTAATTATATTGATTAAACCAATAAACCGCTTGTGTTGATGAGGTTATCAATTTCAATCGTTTTCATCTTTAACTTATTGCTACTATTGAGTAAATATACGGCGCGTGTTCTATATTAATTCCGTAGTAAGTTTTATTAATGAACGCGTCTCGTTATTAATAACTACCCTCAATGAACTGGATATACTCCTCGATTGAGTATTCGAGAGGAAGATAGTTAAAGATATAACCAGGATCGACGAACATTTCATTAAGTGGATAAAAGCAAAACCAAGACTAATTACCTTTGATATTTTATTTCACTCATTTAAGTATTTTATTTGCTTTCTCAATCATCAAAATATCCAATTCCCCCTTTCGTTTACTTTTATTTATTACGCTTACACATACGCGAAAAGCTCCTTTCCCTGTGGATATGAACTCTACTACGCTATACTACGGTATTAGCCCTTAGTAGTGAATTTAATTTGAGTGCACACCACGACAAAGTGCACGTCAGATTGTCCAAATCAAATCCGATCGGCCGAAGACAAATGATCGTGGGAGCGAATTTTCGTGAAGATTTGTCCTATATCCGATCGGGTATGCCTACTTACCCGACCGGGTATGCCCAGAAAAGTGACTTTCTGGGCAATTTCCTAAGATACTCGGTCGGGTATCATATATACCTGGTCTGGTATCAGACCCAGCAGCCCCCAAAAACCTATAAATACACCCCTTTCCTTCCCAATAAAATCACCAATTCACATATACTTCTAAGCTCAATTTAGACAAGTTCTTTCTTTATATTTTTATCATGTTTAGTCTCCAAATGAGGAGCTCAACTCTTCCATCTTGGTTTTGCTACTTTGAAGCTTAATGAATTGTAAGTTGTGAGTTATTTTCTTTAATCTTCTTCCTTGAGTATTAATTAATTCCTATTCATATTTCATATTAATATTTTGAACATTACTTAAAGGATCAACTAGTTTTGTTTCATATATTAATTATTACTAGAATCGATCGACGAATATGCTTGTTAATCGTTCGGTCCTTTCACGGTAGTAAACTTGGGTTATTAATGCATGCGTCTCAAGGTTAATAACCTATGGGGAATCAATTATATTGATTAAACCAATAAACCGCTTGTGTTGAGGTTATCAATCTCAATTGTTTTCATCTTGATCTTATTGCTACTATCGGGTTAATATACGGTGCGTGTTCTATATTAACTAGGTAGTAAGTTTTATTAATGAACGCGTCTCGTTATTAATAACTACCCTCGATGAACTGGATATACTCCTTGATTGAGTATTCGAGAGGAAGATAGTTAAAGATATAACCGGGATCGACAAACATTTCATTAAGTGGATAAAAGCAAAGCCAAGTCTTCATCTCTATTAAGTAAATCACATAAGTCCTTCATCTTAGTGTTAATTAAATTAAATCAAATCAAACATAAAACCCCCGTTGTTTCTTTTTACTAGTTATATTTCTTGTATTGATTATTATTTTGAGTGCACACCACAAAATGCACGTCAGTCCGGCTTTAAGATATGTGAGTAGTGCTTGATACTCTTCTTTTGAGTTCGCAACAGGAGGTTTATAGAAAACGTCAAAAGCACTTGTCAATTCCTTTTGTGCGCTATTACTTTGTTCTCGTTGCCGTTGTGAGAGGCCTCCTCGTTCGATGAATCCGTAATGCCCTCAACACTCACTTTGAGAGGCATAACTTCAATAGTGGAGTTTGTTTCTCTAAGAGCAATCCATGGATCAGGATTAGAGGAATAACCATAATAAGCTAGATCAGCATGAAAAAGCAAAAAATTGACTCGATATTCTCAAATTCATATTTCTTTGATGTAGAGTATGAGCAGAGAATCCCAATGTCTTTCGAACAACTTTACGAAACTCCATTTTAGCCTACTTCAGTAAATTTATATGATGGAGTAAAGTCATATAGAACAAATGATATCCTTGTCCTTTCCTTCCTAGAGGCACAAAAATCTTGTATTAATCCCTTTATCATAGGTTCCTTGACATACAAAACTCCATATCTATTACTGTATTATCCATAGATAAAGTCAATTTTCTAAAATTTTCATACCTAGTGAAATTTTAAGAAAAAATAGATTGAAGCTATCGAAAACTATCACATGACCAGTAAAATCCACCATGATCAAATCAGATACAATAGCTAAGAGAATCCTTAAAGTGAGTGATTAGCAAACTAGAAGAAGATGGGGGGAAGCAAAACAATTTGCTCTCAATTGTCCGGAAAAAGATTTGTGTGTCTGTCCCTGCGTTGCCTGCCTTGTTGCAAACCATTCATGCGAACCGCCTCTTTCTTCCACAGGATTCTCTCTCGATTTGTCTCCTCTTCTAAAATCACCGGCACTACCTCTTCTCAACTTAGATGAACGACTTATGTGGTTTAAATCAAAGAGATAAAGGACTTGACTTTGCTACATTCCACTTGTTGAAATGTTTGTCGATGCACTTCTATCTTTAACTTATCTCCTCTCAAATACTCAATCGTAGAGTGTCTCCAATTCATCGAGGGTAATTATTAATAGCGAGAAGTATCGTTCATTAACAACCCTTACTATTAGCCAAGTATAGAATACTGTCGTATATCGACTTGATAGTAGCATTTAATCTCTTAACTCCTTATTGAAATCAAATGATGTTGAATAGGTTTGAGCACAACATTTAAGGGAGATTTAAGAGATTCAGGCTTCAAGGGAGAGAAAAGGGCGAAGAGAGTTTTATGGCGAGATTAGAAGATATATCCAACGTGATGTGGATGATAACTCCCGTGGCCTCAGATACTCTATTATAAAATGCAGAGCTTTATGACCAGATTAGAAGAGATACCGAAGTAAGAGAGTCGGAGAGGATGAAAGAGGTTTAAATGTATGTATGTATGTATAGACGGAGGTCGAAGGAGGTCTAAAACTGAAATAAAAAATCCAAAATTGAAAATATAAAAGTTAATAATGAAAAGACGAAGCCGTACGGACATAAATGATATACGACATATCAAAGTGGTCTGTGTGGGTAATTTCCACACAAAAAAATACACAGAAATTTCTACACTAAAAATATAGACATTTTTAAAATTTGGGATGGGTCATGGTCAGGGTTGGCCCTCCCCTAGCTACTCCCCTGTCCCCATATAGGTTGAAAATCATATATCAACCTTGGGAATGATGTGAAACCTTCCCACTTTAATCATGGAAAAATTTTCTTAGCTTTTTAGTCTGAAAGGTTACCGTATGCTAGAAAGTCATTGATAGTGCAATACAATATAACATGCATTTGAAAATATGATTTGGTATGCATGTCATACTTCGTATGTTGTAACTTGTAACACCTTTATTTCACAACTGCATTAGATGATCGATGAGCAGTGCAAGGTACATGTTAATGCATTACACAGTTGTTATTAGCTCTAGATAAAAAAAAGAGACAACATAATAGTATCTTCGTTTCATGCACCCGTGCACCACCATGAAGCCAAATAACCAATAAAACAGAAAGTAGCACCATAATAGGTAGATGGCTGCATACATCAGTGACTAAGAGAAAGCAGGAAACAGCT